TTGTGTAAACTAAAATAAATTAAAAGCAAGGTTCAATTATTCTATATTTAGTTAATCCAAAAACTTGCTTAAGTAAGCTGTGTGCATATGAAATGCATATAATGTATGATATTTGAGTGTGTAAATGTTGAAATTATGACTCAAGATGTTATTGAATTTGTAACACAATAAACTTCTACATCTTCAATAGACAAGAGTTAATGATAGTAGAAATTCAGCTAATTACTTTACTCGGGCCTTGGCCCAAATGTTTGAAATGGACTTGTCTATAAAAAACTAGGGAGTTGCTCCCTCCACCCCCACACATCTCTTCCTCCACCTCCCCTTTACTTTTTTGCCCCTTCCTTCACCTTTCCTTTACTATTTTGCCCCTCAGTAAAATTTTATTTTTAAAATTATTGTTTTTTAATTTTATTTATTTATAACATATTTCACTGATAACCTACGTAGTTCCTTGTATGAGTAAAATATTTTTCTGCAAAGCTTGGTGATCGTGAAAAGAATTATCAAGCAATCTTCCTCTTGTTCTCGGTACAGTAGGTGGTGCATTGCGTTTATGGTGTAGTGTCCTTGTCGTGGTTCCTCTCCACGTACGTAGTCATAATCCTTCCTATAATCCTAAACCCTAAACTCTTCCCATACTTCCAATAATCCTTTTAATATCCAAGCCTATAATATTTGGATGAGCCATAAAATAAAAACGAAACAAAAAAGCAACGTTGTCTCTATATGGATGACATCCTTCAACGGATGTCAACATCCGTTTAAGGCGAAACGGATGTCGACATCCGTTTTTTAATCTATACCACACTAAATATAAAGAGACAGTGAAATTGGAGAGATTTATGAAAAGGGGGAATGCATATGCATGGTGGTGATTGGATGGGAAAAGAAAAGGCAAAAGAGGATAATGAGATGACATAATCAACAAAAGCATTGAAATGAAATAATGGATAAATCATGTGTTGTGTGGCAAAATACTGTTGACAAATATTACAAATTCTTTTGCTGTGATGTATATATAATAATGATGATTATAATGTTGATGATTTCACGTGTGTGATCTTGTTGAAATTAAACAGATATACTCTGAATTCAAGTTTCCCAAAAAACAGGTTGAGTCAAAGATTCTTTATTTAATATCTGTGGCAGTTGTCTGTTTTGCAACTGAAACCAAACAGTGGACTACATGGTTGTTTGTTGTCAAATCCGAACTGTACTTTAAAATCTATTGTTCCCACAAAGAACAATGATAATAGGTCAAATTATTACAAGTACTTCTGTTTATTTTCAACTTGTTGCTTGGTTTTTTCCAACGTTTTTTCTTCTTCATAAAACAGTGTGACATCACAAAACGGATGTCGACATCCGTTTCGCCTTAAACGGATGTCGACATCCGTTTCGCCTTAAACGGATGTTGACATCCGTTGAAGGATGTCATCCGTCCAGAGGCAGCGTTGCTTTTTCGTTTCGTTTTTATTTTATTTGTTTATTTTATTTACAGTAATTTATATTTAAATTTATAATTTTAAATATTATATATGAACGGCCTCCACCGCACCAATCACCAACGGCCCGCAAATGCTCATTCGGAAAATGAAGAAGAAAGAAATGGAGAAATAGAAGTGAAAGGTTGATGAGGCTTGAAGAGAAAATGATAAACGGAAATGGAGAAATGGAGAAGAAGCTTTACAGAAGAGAGAAAGGTGAACGGAAATGGAAGAGAGGAAGAGGTGCAGAGAAGTAAATCAGAAGTTTTAAATAAATTAAAATATTAAAATAATAAAAATTAAAAAATTTTAACTTTTGAGGATATAATTGTCATTTTAGAAGGATATAATTGGCATTTTAGAAAATTGGGGAGGTGGAGGAAGAGATGTGTGGGGGTGGAGGGAGCAACTCCCAAAAAACTATCATACTTGGCCCAAATGTTTTAAAAAACTACGAAACACCTTATTACAATATTAAAGAAGGAAAGAAGTTTTAAAATTACGAGAATAGGAAGAAAATTATGTTAGTGAATAGTTTCAATGCTTTATAATTTGAATGTTTCGGTACTATATTTCATATAAAGTATTGTAACATTTGAAATAAAAATTATCGAATTATAAAAACAACTTGTAAATTTTTCTCTTTTCTTAAACGAAACAAAAATTCTAACCTAAAACCAAACTAGAACACAAAAGTAATATTACTTTAAAAGTGAAAATAAAAAATACTTTAAACAAACCATATATAATCATAAAATAGTAGTTTGCATCTTGTAAGAAAAAAACAAAAAAAATCGAACTTTCTTGTCTAAATTTTTATATATGAAAATTAATGTTGTCAAAGTGGACACGGTCTCACGAGGTCTATGATTCCGGTTAGAGCAAACATTAAAATAGTGTTTCTTCTTACATTCCCATAACTTCCATCTACATCCCATAAAATTTAAAAGATCTACATTATCCCTCAATGCACATCATTTGTTGAGAAATGTGAAAAGCTTAAAGAGGAGGTAGAAGTGTAACGAGACACATTTAATCTTGTAGTGCAATCCAAAAACTAATTTTGACTTTTAGAATTTAGGTTTATTTAATATCTTAGTGTTTATATTTAGATATTTGATTATTTTGGTAATTATATTGATTTTATGTTCTCTCTATTTTTGTAAAATGATTTAATGTAATATTTTTCGTTAAGTTTATTTTTATTTTTTAATTTTAACACATCACATCTTTAAAGTAGAATATAATTCTAATTTTGACACGTAACAAAGTGAATTTAATAAAATAACCACACTGAATCTTTAAAAAAATAAAAAATCATTGAGTCTTTTTTTTTTTAAAAAAAAATAAGGGTGCTATGGTTGTGATAGAGAAACAGTTGAATGAATTTGAAAAACATTAAACATAATAGTGGTGGGAAGTTAAGATGTTGCTTTTGAGAAGATATTGACAAAATGGGGTGACAGTGTCTGAATTCTTTCTTTGAAAAGCTTGATAGTCCTTGAACTTGGCCCAGATAATTATTACCTTCCCTTCAACCACTGCCCCCTAAATATGTCTCAAAATCTAAATCAATATTTGGAAGGTATGATATGCCCTCTATCAACTTAACTTTGGGACCCTTAAGCTCTTTCTTCCTCCTTATTCATGTATGCTACTTGACAAAGGAAGACCTGAGTCAAAAGTGGTCAAATTAAAATAAAATGGGTTGTTGTGAAGAAGAGCTAAAGTGGGTTTAAAAGGTTCGAGTCTGATCATTTTCGACAACTTACAAGCCCACGTTGCCCATCCTCTTTTCATCATGCCATGCCCCATTCAAACTGTCCTCTTCTCCTAGTTTCATGGATGCATTGCATCCAACCCCTTTCACTTTCCATTAAACAACGACAACAAATATGTTGTAATCTTATGAATATTTCCCCTCTCAATCATTAACTTCCTCATTTTCCCAAGATTCTTCCACTTTATTAGTTTAAGTGCGTCCCCATGGCTCCCTTCTACACTTGGATTTTGCTTGTAGTTGCCTTGTATCTTAAATTTGCTTCCACTCCCACACACACTTCTTTTTCTTCGGTGATCAATTTATTGGATTTATCAAGGAGAAAGTTTATTGGTGAAATACAAACATTAATAAGATCTGAGTCAAATCACTTAAGAAATTGACACCACTTTTTACTTAAAACTTTAAGGCAATGATGTTTACTTAGAAGCTTTCGTCAGGAAGACTTTTGATACAGGAATCATTGTACTCGTCTGAACCGATTACCACTATGAATAATTGAATATAATATAATATTGTTGCCTTTATCGAGGAGGAAATTTACTGAAGAGATACAAACACGAATAATATTTGAGTCCAATCATATAAGGGATTATAACACTCTTTTATCCAAAATCTTAAATACAATGGATTAATGAATCTTCAACCTTATATAATGTTCTATTTTCTCAATGTAACTTGGACTTACACTTATATTTTTAACACAATTCTCAATCAATAACTAGAATGTGTTTTATAATAGATTTTAAAATATAATGAAATATCAATGAGGGTGTGAAGAGTGGAGCGAGGAGATAGTATACAATTGTGAGAAAGTAAAATTAGAAGTAATTTGTTGAAAGTGAGAGATGATGTTTATGTAAGAACGAGAGAGATTAATTACACCGTCAAAATGGATAACGAGTTATCATTTGCGAAAAGTAGGTTGAGAAGATTGTGGTTGCTGGCGTGGGTCCCACAAGACATGGACCTCCGAGTTGGTCCATGACCCCACCAATGACTCTGCCTCCATGTGTGGAACTCAGTAGAACAAACGCAATCACGTGAACAGATTTCTATGTTAAGTATTTCCCAAGATTTCTAACAAGATCATGGCAAAAATAATGTAGGGTTTATGCTAGATTTTTCAATCTCAACTACAAAATATATGCCACCCGATCTTCAAATTTAATACTCACCAACAATAAAGTAAACTCAGAAAGACAAATAATCATCAAACCGCCAACAATAATGCAGAAAATATAATAACTGACTTCACTTTCTATTTGGTTCAATCTTCGTATCTTGTTCTTCCTATTTTTTATTTGATTTGCGAATTCATTATGTACATAATCATTTGTTGTGTGCATGAACCGTTTGTGTGACCCTATTTTCTTTTTCTCTTTATTTTGTTGTTAGTTAGATTCGTTATATAACATGGTTACGTATAAAATCATTGTCGTAATGACAATTTTAAACTATTACAAAAAAAAAACTATAATTAATGATTAAATCAATCGCAAGAATGGTGAATAAAAGAAGTTTCTAAGTTAAAATTGTTTTTTCTTTTTTGGAGCGTCATCTTTTTCTATTTTTCAAATAATCATTTTCCAAATCCATGATATTTCAATTGTGATTTTTCACGTCCACAAAATCTAATGCATGTCAACATTAATTACCACACTAAACTTGTACATAATACTGAAACGTGTATCTGTAGCACAGCAACTGGAAAATAAATGCAACGTAGGTTTATTTAAAACTGGCATTTCATATTTTCATTTGTTTGATGGGATTGTACAAACGAGAATAATGTCTACTTGTGCTTATACAAAGTGATCCTTTAAAACTGTAGAAACTAAGTAAGAAGAAGAGGCATGTTCTTGAATTGATATGTGATGTGTGGTTTGAGTTAAAACATCGAAAACCCAAGTTACAGGTACCATGGCCATGTTGCTTCAAAGCAAGAAACTCCTTCATCACTTCCTTCTCTCACATACTTCCCTATCTCTTTCGCCTCGGATGCCTTTCTTCTCTGCCACAATAAATAAACAAAATTTAGTATTCTTCTACTTTTCACAATCAACTATTCATTCAACCCTTCACGTTGCTTCCTATAATATTATAATATATTACTTTAGTCTTATATTTGCAAAATGTGACAAAATTTCATTTCATTTAGTCCATACAATATTTTATAGAGTCGGGACAATAGTGGAGATGTACAGAATCTCATAAAGTGGAAAGGCTACTCTTAATAATGTTATCCTTAACCACAAGAACCACCAAATGTTTGCTAACCACACAGAACGAACAACACTAAAACATGCGTATAAGGCTGATCAAGAAATATTTAGCAGTAGGCACCTGCATTGTTTCTAAAGCATCTGACTCTGAATTGAAGTCGTAATAGCTACTTGCTGCACTCAGCTTCATTGAGAGGAACTTCATGTAAAACAAACATAGATATTAATTGTTAGTATCATATATAAAGCAAATTTATTACATACAAGCGAGTCTAAACCTGTTCATTTTTATCGATTTTGTGAGACTGAGTTATACTTAAAATTTACTTTTTTAACGTTAATATTATGTTTCAAGTTTTCTTCTTCTATATATAACTGATCCAATGCTACTTTTTATTTCAATCAATTACCTCTACTTGATGCTGCAAGGACTGCACATAGTTTATGATCTCGTCCAACATTATCGCCATACCCATGGTCTGCAAAATCAGAGGTTAACTATTTAAGCAAGACTGATACGAATTCGGTATAGTAAAAAAGATGTCCTTACCTTGTAACATCCTGGGACAATGTTCTGCAAGCACCTAAGTTTTTCATTGATTTTCCCTCTTCTAACCTGAATAACAATAAATTGAAAATATATTTACATCTTAATCAAAGAAAAGAAAGCAGAATATTTTTTAATATCATGATGTAATAGTCAATTCTTACAGTTTGTTAATTTTATAATAATTATTTTAAAAACTATATACCCTCTCTGCTAAACTGTGACTATCTGTAGCTTGACCTCTTTTGGCTCTGACATGAACTACTTGGTTTGGTTTCTTGTCTTCTACCGCATTCCTTTTCTCTCTCTTGCCTCTTCCACAAATCTGAAGACAACAAATAAATCACGAATATCTATCTTGCATATGAGTAAACAAAATGGTGAATGAGAATACAATAAAACGAACAAAGCCGAAGAAAGTTTACATTTTTTGTCTTGCTTCCACTCTCAGAAATATCAGGAGTTGAGTTACCAGAACTGGGATCACCCATATCAGTTGCTTCCCTCTTTTTACCTTCATGAACTTCATTTAACGCTGGAACTGCATTGTGATCCACGCATTGAAAAAGACCCGGAAAATTCTCTTCCAAGTTTCCTGGAAATTCAGGTTCTGTAGAGCCCAATAAGCTGTCAAAGGGCACCAAGTTTTGAATTTCCATGTTATCGATATCCAAGAAAGGAAAGGAGGGTCTAATGCTTTGCAAATCTGCAGTGAATTCTGCCATGTGATTTATAAGAGAGGTTTTGAAAGGTTTTAAGTGGTATCTGGATAATGTGCCTGAGACAGGTATTTATAATGTAGGATTAGTCTAACTAACCCACGTGGCAGCTCGAGGTTCTGCAGGTTGGCCCCACATACAGGAGAAATGTCCAATTATAACATGGGCCCATGCTTTGTGAGACAAGCACTGTAATATGGGTCAATGCCTTTGTGAGAAAAGCAGGGTCTATTCTTTGGAGCTTTTGGAACTTTTAATTTAATGACAAAAAAAGAAACCTTTAATTGGGATGCCTATCTTTCAGATCTTTCATCAAAGTTTTAACTGTAGTGGGAAAAGGGTAGTTTTCTGTAGGAGCACATAGTTTAGGTTCAAACTCTTCCCATATATCAACGTTATGTTTTTCTAGAGTGGAACTTAATCTTCCTGCTTTTACTGCTGGAAGATTTACTCCCTTCTTTCTGCAATTATTTCAACAGACATTTTCGAAAGCAATACCCTATTTCCTAAACTTTTACATCTAGATTCTTACTCAACTAACGCTGCTGATAAAAGCCTTTTCCTATGGGTGAACTCAACTAGATGGATTACACATCATTCGAGTAAGCTAGAGATTATATTTAGTGTCAAAGTTTCAAATCACTCTTTCTAATTCTTAATGTTCTTATAAGAATTTTTGTAAAACATGATACATTATTCTGTTGGGTTACTGGATCCAAATAATGTAGATCGTTATGTCTCACTTTGCTTTAATGGATAAGGGTGAGATTAGTAAGACACACAAGAGTTATTTGAAAAGAGAAAAGCGAAGTGAGAGAGAAAGGAAGAGAAAAAGTCTTTTCCGCATAACACGAAGTCTGTACTGGTATTGTGAAGTCGTTTACCATTGGATTAGGTTAATTTTTGGACAGTGGGTTCTAGACGTATGGTTTTTCATTTTTATCGTTTGAAAACAGTTTCGCATCAGCAGCTTTGTTTTGAAGAATTTTCATCTTCTTTGTTCTCATTTGTAAGCATTTGTACTTAATTAACTTAACTGATTTAAAACACCGTTTAATGTTTTATTAGAGACTCTTTTATACCCTATTATTAATCATAGTGGATTTATATTTGGTCTGGATAACTCGTGGTCTTTATCCTTACATTAAGAGATTTTTCACGTTAAAATTGTTGATGTATCTTTGTGCTTTGAATTTTATTTTTATTCTTGTTATTGCTCCTTGCATATTCTTATAAGAAGGAGGATCGAATTTTTCGTTGTACAATTAGTGTTTGTTAAGTTGTTATAATTTTTGGCTTTTTTTTTCATCATAGTGGTATGTTGAATGCAGAATTTAAAAACTGAGCATGCACTTTGTAGAAAAAGAGGCTGCAGGATTTCTTGGAAAGCAAGTTTTTTTTATTTTATTGAGCTATTGAAAGAAATGAGGCAGTTGATTTTGTTGTTTGGTGAATTGGCTCTGATTGGGACTGGCATTTGAGAAATGAATGAACCAAACTTTAGAACAGAAGTGGGGTTGTGACATGTGGAGTGTATATCTGGCGTATGACACTTGATTCAATTCTCATTAATAAAATAAAATAATGAGTTGAATTCTGATACAAGTGGTAGATTCCTAGGCCTCCATAAGGCGAAATAGCAATAGTTGTTGGTTACCCTATACACCCAATTGTGGTTGTAGGTCTTACAAAAGTGGAGATGGTTTGAACATCTGTAAGAAGCATTGGGGATTGGTATTCAAAGACATAGTGTTAACTTTGGGACAACCTTCCCTATAGAAGTAAGGCCTCGCTGCCCCTTTTCAAAGCCATATAGCAGGCACTGCCTAATTTGAGAACTTGAATGTAAGACCTTAGCAGATCAGAAGAAATTTTCTCATGTTATAAACGTGGGAAGAAGTTGCCCATGCACTTGTATTTAATCTTTAGCATATAATAAGGTACTACAGCCAAACAAGTTGGAGTTTAGATGAGGCTACCATTTACAAACATGGCCTATGGATGGCTACTAATTAGGTTTGATTCACCTAACACATAACTGAATTTGACCTTTGCTACAACCTTTTCTACTTTCTCCACCTTGCTCCCCATTCTCCTTCTTTTTCTTCTTTTATTTTTCTTTAGGTCAAAATTCAATTTAATTTTATCCCATGTTAAATAAAAATAAAAATCATTCAGTGAGATATAAGAATATAAACATGAATAATGATACCGTAAAACATTTTACAGTTCATTTGACACAGGTTACAAAAGTAGAATGATTAAGAGAGTATAAACTTTTATATTCTTTCAATAACAAAAAGAATAAAAAGTAAATAACAATAATGTCAAATGAACATAAAATATTTATACTTGTAAAAAAGATTTTACTCTATAAATATATATGTCTTTAATTCAACTTATCTCTCTTTTTCACAATACTGGCATATAACTTTATTATAAAAGTCTTTATGCAATCATACACGCTTTACTTGTATGGTATCACGTTGGAAAATGATAAAACAGGGCATGAATCTATCAACTTTTGGACCAAAATATCATTTCATATATGGTGCCCACTGATTTAGGTAGACCTATGGTGCTGTAAATTCATCCTTCACTTCAAGGAGAGTTTTATAACTGACCTTGTATTATAAGATGGGCAATTTCTTCCTCAACCTCCATGGTCTATACCTTCAAAATTCTGTGTATTAATAGATAGAATCTAAGAGTTGAAAATTCCATATTTAATATAAATAACAAAGTTTTGAGTGACATATAAAAAATAAAATTTTATAAACATTGAAACTTGTGGTTTTATGTCAAAAGTTATATAAAATCTTTTTTATGAACAATTCATAATTTAGAAGTGGTCAATCTTCTTAATTTATCCTGATAAAAAGTTTTTAACAGTTATATTAGAATTGATCATTTTCTTTTGTATTTGAAAATGCATTTTTTATTTTTTATTTTAAATATAATATAAAAATTTATGAGGGTGCAAGTTGAAATTACGGAGGTTGAAGAAGAAATGGCTTATAAGATGTTATCTATCTTTGATCCATTCAAACTTTTATTGGACCAAAAATATTTTCAACTGGGCTTTACTATTTTCACCAGGCTTCTGCTAAGTGAACAAAAATATTCTATTTTTTTTTTATCAAAATACTATTTACAAAAATATACTTTTGTTATTAAAATACAAAAAAAAAATTATGCCAAAAACAAGTTTTTCATCCATGAACAAAAAAAATCTGTCCATAACATTTTTTAAAGATAACTAACTAGGTGAAGTTTTTGTTTAGTTAAAGTAATTTTAAAATAGAACGATGATATCTTTACAATTTTTATTTCGTATAAATAGTTATAACAAAATAATAATATAAACTAAAATTAATGAAATAAATTTTCAATTTTTATATTATTAGAATATTTTTTTCTAGTAATTATAAATGAAATAAGGGTAATCAAAATATCAACATTTTTAGGAATATATAGGTACATGTGTTTTTGCTGTTGTTTGGTTTGTAAAATACTTTAACTGGTATTTTAAACTAAGATAATTCTACTTTTTCAGAAAGATAATTAATCAAATAATATATTAATTGTTTAATTTATAAATAATTATACGTGTTATTTTACTTTCGGACTGATTTCCAATATACATTTTTATTTAAAATAATTCTGTTTTTCCCTAGATTGCTTATACGTTGATTTCAAAATTCCAATATTGAATTGTTATATATATTTTAACATACACACTAGTTTTAAATTTTGTAATGTAAAAAAATAAAAACATTTTTAACATTACATATAATTAACTTCAACGTATTTAATTAGTAATTATTAAAAATAAACATATTTGAATAGTTTTGTATTCGGATACAGTGGGATTTAAGTTTTTATGTGTAATTATTTAGCCTTTATTGTGAGGATTGTATTTTATTCTATTAACCGATTAGGTATGATGGTAATGAGTTTAAAAATGGGTATAAATGTGTGGATATGTGTCTTTAATAAATAAAGACATGCCTCTTCTACTTCGCAAACAATAAATTAAAAAATATCAAGAATTTAAAGTTAATCAATATCTTTGCTGAAATGAAATACTAAAAAAAATCAAATATGTAAATGAATTAAAAATATTTAAATCTTAAAATTAATATACAAGTAATGTCTGAATATGAGAAATACCATGTCTGTTTTTATAGTAGAGAAACTTTACACTTTGAGTAATTAATGGTTAAAGAATGTAAAAGACAGTGAGAATGAAGATGTAGGAGACATTGTGATAATTCATGCCGATGTGGTACTAAATATTAAATGTGTATGGGCCCATCTGTTATCAAAGTTCAACTCTCTTCTCCATTCCATTGGTTGTGTTTTTTTGCTAAATACTTGTACAACTTTGTCACTCAACCTATCTTGTCTATTGTCTCTTCCAGATCTACAACAATTGCAAATCTAATCCAAAACGTTAACATGCATAGAAGTTCACAAAATAAAAATTAATTTAAAATCTTCCTTTTAACATAATATAGAATCAGTTAAAGTTTATCCAAAGTTTATTGAATATATTATGTTAGCTGTTATCAGATTATTTTTTAACATATATATAGTCTTAAATTTTTATTAATGTAGACATATTGAAAGACTTACATCTATATAAAATAAATAGATGAATATAAATTTTACTTTATAAATCGATTTTATAAAATTAAATTAAACTTAAAATTTATTTTTAACAAAAATGTCATGTATTTACTCTCTTAACATAGTACCAAAATTTCTTAAATCATCCGCCTCAAATCACTTAGGCTGTGTTCTTTTGGGTAGATTTTGGAGAGATGATTTGGGGGAGATGATTTGAATGGATTTGAGTGGATTTGAGTGGATTTGAGGGTAATTTTTTAGTTGTTTTTTTGAGTGGATTTGTGGGTAATTGAGAGTGGATTTGGAAGTAAAGTTTGTGAGAACTAGTGTAGGATTTGATTGATGTGATAGATTTTAAAAATTAGTTTAATTGGTAGAAATTAAAGATTACCAAAATGCCCCTAGTTAT